CACTCCCCGGCTGGCAGAGCAGCCCCCCGGGAGGAGTCTGCTGCCCGTCTGCGCGCTGGCTGGAGCTGGGCTTTCTGCAGCTTTGCTGCTTTTGAAGCTGGTAGCTGTCGGTCTTGGAAGTGCAAACGCGATGGCCTGGTGCTGCCCAGCACAGGGGTTAGAGCCCCTCGCATCCCTTCTCCCTGCTCCTTTCCCTGTAGGCATGTGGGCTCCTCGCTCTGCTGTATGAATATTCACCAGGCACCAGCTCTCCAGCCCCAGGATTTAATCAGAAAGTCTGAGCATTCGTGATTAAAATGCCTCCCAGGGGGGTCAGTGCCTTCCGCCAGCTTTGGGCTTTCTTTTTACTGCCATGGGCTGGGCGATGCTAAAGGCGTCGGGCACCCAGCAGCCTGCCTGCTTCCCCAGCCACAGCCGTCTTGCTCCTGGGAGGCATTGCTGGCCTCCAGCCTGCCCCGGGACTCAGCATCCCGTCAGCTGAGGCCTAATAGCGGCCATAAATCAGACCGGCGTCGGTGTATTGCTGGGCGCTGAGTGGCCCTCGGGGAGAGCGAGAACTCCCCTGGGCCTCGTGGTTGCTTCTGGGCAGACGCTGAGCCGGAGCGAGGAGAGCAGGAGGTGGCTGGGCTCAGGCTGGGCTCCTGCTTGCCTTGAGCAGAGAGGCAGACTGTGAGGAGGGGACAAAGGGACAGGAGAGGGAGCGGGGACGTGGCGCAGCTTCCTGCTGCTCCCTGCTGAGAAGGGAGCTGGTGTGGAAGCGGTGGCACCCCGGGGTGCTGCCTCAGCAGCTGGTCCCTCAGGGAGGGATGCCAGGCTGCTGGTGGCTTGGGGAGCATCTTGTGCTGAGTGCAGCTGTGCCAGGCTTGTGGCTTTCCCCTCGTTCCTGCCTCCCCAGGGCTGGGTGGTCTTGGCAGCCCATGAGCCTCTTGCAGAGAGAAGGTGCGGCGGGGGACGCAGGTGATGATGCCAGTTCCAGGTCTAAATCCCCCAGGATGTCCAGCCAGGTGCTGGATGGAGCTGTTTGGTAACCGCTGCTCATGCTGCCCTCCATGTCAGAGCAGGGTGTCACAACAGAGGGGTGGTTGCTCACCGTGCTTCCGTATCGGGCGAGAGCAGTTTGATTTCAGAGAGAAGCAGTCCCCTCTTCCTCCAGGAGATTAGCTCCTGGGTGACTGTACTGGCACCGCTGCTCCCCCAGCCCGGTGGGAGCCTTATCTCCAGAGCACCAGCCCCAGCGCGCAGGCTGGTGCTTGCACCGGAATTTGCAGGGTCGCCAGAAAGCTTTCACCTTCTGAAGAGCAGAAGAGAGAGAGGGGGGAAAAAAGGGAGACGTTTCAATCTTTAAATCCTGCTGCACTGCAAACTTCAAACGGGGCTGAGGGAAATCAAAAGGCTCTGCAGCACGGCAGCCATGGGAAGAGAGGAACAGTAAAGGCAGCTCTGCGCGTGAGCCTGGGAGCTGGGGCTGAGGCAGGGGACAGGGGGCTGGCATTTACACCCCTGGCCCTTGTCAGGGCTGGGGCTGACCGGGGTGCGGGAAGCCTGCAGCCCCTCGGGCCCCCTTGCACTGGATTGCAGAAGATGAAGCCGAGCAGAGTCTGGCTGGGTTTGTTTCATGTGTGGCCTCGGCATGGGCTGGCCAGGGCTGCCTGGTGGCAATGGTCCGGTCCGTCAGTCTGTCCTGTGCGTCCTGGTAGCAGCACTCATCCGAGCAGCCGCCCAGGTCACGTCTGCGTGCAGGAGATGTGCCACGCAGTTACGTTGCGCTTGGAAGGGCAGGCAGGGGAGGTGCGGCAGCACGGAGCTGTGCTGCGCCTTCGCACGGCTGGGGAGGTGGGTCCCCTCCGTGCTGTGAACAGCACAGGGTGCTGTCACACCCAGGCCGAGAGAGGGGCAGAGACTGCGGTGTGTGAGTAAACAAACAGCTCTCCTCTGCACACACCAGTAATGCACAGTGGTCCCTCCAGGGCCACCGCGAGCTAGAGTGGATCGGGGCACCTTTGGTGCAGGGTCCTTCTCGGGGCAGTCACACCGGTGTGCTTGGTTATACCCCACACAGCTGCCCCGACCTTTTCACAAGCCTATCTCCCATGTCAGCCTTTAAATTGGGGCCCAGAGTGTTGAACCTGACACGGATGCCCAGGAGAGGATGCATGAGGCTGTCTCTGCAGAGCTGATTTACCTGCCAGGGGTCAGCGTGGCAGGCGGGGAAGGGAAAGCCTCCCAGAAAACCCTGCCCATCATTCGGGTGACCTTGCCTGCATGGAGGCATGGGCAGCCAGACCCAGTGTCCCCAGGGGAAGGGGGTGGCTTGCGTTTGCCACTTATTGGTCACGTGTAGGGGATGTTACAGCAAGGCTTGGTACCCAGGGATGGTCCTGGGAGTCGGGATGTGCTGATATAAATGTTGTCTTGGTGTGATGATGGAGAGCCAGGTTTCTAAGGAAACGTGGGGGGTTGGGGCTCTCAGGTGGATGTGGGGTGGGAGGTGGGAACAGCAGGCGACGGCTGTGTGCTGATGACGCTTGTGGGGTACCAGCGTTGGGGTGGTGGCAGTGGGCTGGAAGATGGATTGCCCCGTTTCACTAGGAGCAGTGAGGTTCTTGGTGAGCCTCATCGGGTGTTTCTAGGGCCACAGAGGTTGGCATGGTCCTTGCTTCGTGACGCTGAAGTCTGGCTCTGCCTCCCAGAGCCTGGGCTGGAGTGGAGGGCCTGGAAGGAGGGGGACTGGGAGAGAGGAGGTGTCCTGGAGCAGCCCGTAGCCTTCCCCTGGGTGCCCTGGCCAAAGCTAGCAAAGGTGCCTGGCGTGGCCTGAGCGAGGGGGACATTGGCAGGCTGCTTTGTGGGATGCCTCCTGGCAAAGCCACTGACTGGGATCACATGGAAGGGAGAGTTAATGACTGACAAATAAAACCACTGCCCAAATTTCTGCCTTGGTGGAGAGGGGGAAGAGCGACAGCTTGCCTTTGGGCAGTGTAAAGTGGCGAGCTGGGGAATGGGAATTGTGCTCTGGAGGCAACCGGTGGGAGTTTTATCTCAGAAAGGTATGGGGCTTGCTGCCTGCCAGGCCCCCAGCTGGGGTTATTTCAGGCTCCGTCCTGCTGGGAGACGTGCTCTGTGCGGGCCTGTGCTTCTGGCAGGGTTTCCTGGAGGAATGAGGAACATGGTCACATCTGTCTTTCTGTCCAGCTCCCACCTTGGCCAGTATTTCCTGATTCGCAGCGGGGTGCGACCGTCCGAGGTAGCGGGGTCTGTTGGCTTGCTGGGAGCCGGGTAGGTGGGGCGAGGCAGAGAGCCCCAGGTCGCGTCGCTGCTGGGTGGGTGGGTGCTGTGGTGGGAGCTGCAG